AGTACATATTCATATACTTATACTTCATTTATAGAGCATTTTTCGCTAATTACGCTGCTTAGGGTCTTTCTTTATAATGCATTTTTGTCATGTTTTGTTGTTTTTCTTGGGAGTTTTCATATAGGGATAACCTCATAACTTCCTTTCAAGTCGCCTATTATTGTGCTTTGTTGTCTTATTTGTATCGCTTTTTGCTAGCCTCTGCTCTTACTTGTATTTTACTATTTGTCAATAATTTATTTGMGATTTGAATAAACTATGTATGTATGTATCTGAAAAATACGAAACACTCAGTTAATTTTACGAACCAATGACCTGCGGTAATTGCAAGGCTCGCTTGATTTTGTAATTCTATCTTCTAGATATAAGTTAAAAGTATAGGAGATAATTCTTTTCGTATTCAAGCAGCAAACGCCAAAAACTATTTTCTTGAAGAAAGGCTGTCGTACGAGGCTAAAATCTTGTTATTCAGAAAGTTTAACTTGTTTGGAAGTGGAGATGACCGATGAAAGTGGGACCAAAGCAAAAATTTTATTCGAAAATGAGGTTTAGGCCTTCAATATTTTTTTAAAAAAAAGCCTGACAAAGCAACATTCTAACACAAATGTAACAAAACATCTTTGTACAATTGAAAATACCGCTTCAAACAGGCATTTTATCATAGTACATCAGTTTCTAACTGTTTAGAAAAGGTTTTGAGTGTTAACCCAAAACGAAAATTGGAATAAAAGCTCATACGAAAGTCTAGTTTTTGGCGCTTTTTACCATCATTGCTCGTTATTGAAAAACATTTCCTCATAACATAATTAGTCAAGTTTTCTCTCAAATTTACTGCAATATTGTCGTCGATCAATCACAATCTTAAATATTAATTGTGTACTTTATTGAATTATTGACCTAGCGCGACTTCATTTGGTTAGTAATTCTAGTATGAGTAATAAACCAACGCCAAAAAAACAGCGAGGAAAAGAAAGAGGAAGAAAAATAGAGGAAGAAAAAAAAGAGGAAGAAAAAAGAGGAAAAAGGAGGCAAGCAATAAAGAAACAACTAGTGTAAAAAAAAGAAAAAGAAAGAAAGAAAGAGAGAAAAAATAGAGAGAAGAAAAGGACGAAAGTAAGAAATAAACGCGAAAAGAGATTAAATTATCGACCTAGCGCGACCTTTATGTGGTTAGTAACTCTATTACGAACTATAGACCAACGCCAAAAAAACAGCGAGGAATAAAAAGAGGGAGAAAAAATAGAGGAAAAAAAGAAGAGGAAAAAAGAGGCAAGCAATAAAGAAACAACTAGCTTAAAAAAAAGAAAGAGAGAAAAAATAGAGGGAAGGAAAGAACGAAAGAAAAAAAATAAAAGCAAAAAAAGATAGGCAATCTAAGTTTAACGCGCTGTGAATACCATACTCTCAATCGATGATGTTCAAAACCCACCTCTTCAGCTGCAAAAACATAAAGTTGTCAACCTTACTATCTCCTTAAGTTTCGTTTTCTCTTCGTGAAATACAGTAAAACTCACATTCATAGCGCCGAGCCGAATAATAAGATCTTTGCCCCGCCTAAACTTTGAACCGGATTTATTATTTCGAGAAGCTACGACACTGCACGAAGTCATTGTTACCGCTAACATCTGCTTGCACCACTCATATTTATTAAAGTCTTAAAATAAAGTCTTGATGAATTCATGTCCTGATATTCACTTAATTTATTATCATTACAATCATCACTTATCAATGCTCTTATTTTTTGTCTTGTGTCATCGACAAGTTTTCTTTTTCCTTCGTGCAGACTCGGTAAAGACTCCAAATTAAATATCTAAAATAGCCGAATTTCGAAGAATGACAGATCTGAAGAAGGAGAAAAGTGAAATGCTGACTTAAGGATCCACAAATGAACTGAATTCTTATTCTCGGGTGAGATCCGTATTTATATACGGACTGCGGGATCAAGTGAAGATGAAGGGCGATAAACACACAGTAGGTCCTTATCATAGCAGCCAACCTCAATGGTTGAATCAGTTTTAAAAATTTGGTGACTTTTTGTTAATTGTAAAGATTTTTTGTTCCATTGGCTATAACTGACTGCCTCATAAAGTGCGTATCACCCTTCTTCAATATTCACAGCATCAAGGGCGGGTCCAGCCAAAATTTTTGGGGGGGGGGGGCTAATTGAGTTTAGGGGGGGCTAATTGAGTTTCTTTCGTCAACACAATGGAAAATAATAAAAAAGCATCTAATTCTTCATGAAGATATAGAAATATAGATAAGTTATAGTGCTTGGGAACGAGGTTATTCCGGGCGAAAGCCCTTGAATTAAATTCGGAAAAATTAACTTCCGACCGCGCTGACTGGCTAAGTGCTACGCGGTCCACATATTCTCACTTTGCATCTAATTCTTCAGTTTTTTTTTTTTGTCTTGTTTTGTTTTGTTTTTCTCGCTGAAGTGGGGCCACCCTTGAGTATTGTTTCTACGTGGGGTAAGATGTTAAATAACCAGAAAAAATGTCATAGTTTGAGTGCAGCTTCTTGAAGCCAGGTTTTTCCATGCCATATGCTAATTCTGTGACGTATGAGGAGTATTCATTTAACAAAACATTACTGGCACAGATAAATTAAATTTGAAATACGTCGTTGTTTTTCCCATTGCTCTTATAGAAATTATTGCAAGTTGGTTTCATATAGAAGCAGGTGTTTCGAATTACAAGGAACAACAAATAACCATAATTGTTATAGCTACGAAATTTTCCGATATAAGGAACACTCTCATTGGTTGAAAGGTGACCACGTGACACTAGTTAATCTAAATGTATCCCGAAATAAGTTGGGTCGGGAAATAAGTTGCACGTGACAACAATCGTGAAAATAAACAAGTGCACGTGATCAGAACGTGAAAATCGCTGATGGCGTGATATTTTGCACCAATCAAAAACAACAGAGCGGGAGCAGATATTTTGCTTTATAAATGTTCAGTACAAATGGAGCTCGAAGCGAAACAATAGAGATTTTCCAGTGTTCTACAGAATTACAGACTTTTATTGAGAAAAAGGATTCGGAAAATACGAAAAAAGCGACCACTAAAAATGCTGTTGCTACTCTCCTCGGTTTTTGGTAGAGAAATACAAGACCGTATTTGAGTTGTATTTGTAAAATCATGGTCAGTTTTCAATGCATGCTTGCTGAATAAAGTTCTTATTTCGTTAGAGTGAAAGCATTTAACCCATGAAATAAAAAATACTAGTCAATGTGTAATAGTCAAATA